AACAACCGAGTGTGTACCATTCGTATAACTAAATGGCTATCGCTTGTGTGAGAACAGCTGAGTGGACAGCACGTGAATGAGAACACTTGGAGGGATATACAAAACCAAAGAGTTCCAAACAAAAGTATAAAAACAATTGATGGATTCTGTTGATAGGCTCAATACCTCTTCCCTTATCCCATATGACCCTTGGTCTGTAAAGTCTGATGCCACTAATAAACTTTGGCTTTCAACCATCAGTCAGTAGTTCACGCATGTTATAATCGGCTCCGTGCACTGAGCCCATCGCTGCAGCACAGCGACATCTTATCCTCAGCTTCTTGTTTGGATAATTAGTGTGTAGATACAAATTTTATAGATGGATTTTTTAAAAAAGGTTTATTTGTTTATTGGAAAGGCAGATGTACAGAGAGGAGGAGAGACAGAGAGGAAGATCTTCTGCCCATCAGTTCACTCACCAAGTGGCCACAATGGCTGTTGCTGCGCCGATCCGAAGCCAGGATCCAGAACTTCTTCCCAGGTTTTCCATGCGGGTGCAGGGTCCCAAGGCTCTGGGCTGTCCTCGACTGCTTTCCCAGGCCACAAGCAGGGAGCTGAATGGGAAGTGGAGCTGCTGGGATTAGAACCGGTGACCATATGGGATCCTGGCGTGTCAAGGCGAGGACCTTAACCACTATGCTATTGTGCCGAGCTCTATAGATTGATTTTTCACCTAGCAATTTAACTGAATTTACTATTTCTCTAAGGTTTTCGTGGCTTCCAAAGGGTTTTGTGAATACAACAGCATGTCTTCTGCAATTTATTTTCTTTCTTTCTTTTTTAAAGATTTATTTTATTTTTATTGGAAATGCAGATATACAGAGGAGGAGAGACAGGGAGGAAGCTGATCCGTCTGATCACTCCCTAAGTGACTGCAATGGCCAGAGCTGAGCCATTCCAAAGCCAGGAACTTCCCCAGGTCTCTCACACAGGTGCAGGGTCCCAAGATTTATTTATTTTTATTGGAAAGGCACATCAGATTTAGAGAGAGAAAGGAACATCTTCCAGCCACTGGTTCACTCCCCACAATGACCAGAGCTGATCCAAAGCCAGGAGCTTCTTCCGGGTCTCCCCTGCGGGTGAAGGATCCCAAAGGTTTGGGCCATCCTTGACTACTTTCCCAGACCACATGCAGCAAGTTGGATGGGAAATGGAGCAGCTGGGACATGAACTGGCATCTGTAGGGGATCCTGGCAGTTGCAATGGGATCGCACTGGGCCCAGCTGTCTTTTCTTCTACTGTTGTTTAGCATTGGGGTCTAACGTGTAGCATGCTGGCCACACATCATTAGTTTGGAGATATTTCTCCCCCTCAATCTCTCGGATGAGTTTATAGATTTTTGTTTTCTTTTCAGAAGTTTTATTTGCAAAGTGAACAAGTGGTCATGTGAAGAAGAAAGGGGAAAACACCTCTCAGATGAGATTTGGAAGATGGGGTATCTCCTGAAACGAGGGACACCCTAGGCTGTTATAAAAAAAAGATTTGAAAATCAAATTAGAGACACAGATGCTTTTCATGTTAGTTTACTCCACAGCTGTTGCAAGCCAGCAGCCAGAGCTTCATTCAGAACTCAGACATGGGTGCAGGGCGCCATGTTCTGCTGCCTTCCCAGGCCTTCAGGAGGGAGCTGGATTGGAAGTGGAGCAGCAGGGACTCCAATGAGTATCCATATAGGAAGCTGGCATCACAGATGGCAGCTGTACCTGCTGCACCACAGTGCTGGCCTGAGGAGTGGTATGGATTCTCTAAACTTTTGATCAAATTCATCAGTAAAGCTTTCAGGACCTGGTTTAAAAAAAAAAAATGAAATGCAAGTTACAGACTTACATCCATATGACTCCCCAAATGGGCGCAGCAGCTAGGGTTGGGTCAGGCAGAGGCCCACAGCAGGAGCTTCTGCCAGGTCTCCTCCGTGGGTGGCAGGGGCCATCTGCTGCTTCTCCCAGGTCATTAGCAGGGAGCTGGAGTGGCAGTGGAGCAACCAGGACATGAACCTGGGACCACAGAGGATGCCAGCTTCAAAGGCAGCAGCTCTTCTGGCTCCACCACAATGATGACCCTGACCTGGGCTCATTTCTAACAGGATTTTTAAACAAAAATTACTGGTTCTGTCATATTATTTGTTATTGGTCTGCTCAAATTTTCTGTTTCTTCATGTTTTAGTCTCAGTAGCCTGTTTCTTGGATTCGTTTTTAGGTCACCCAGTTGTCAGGGTGTAACTGCTTACAGTAGCTCTAGTGACCACTTGTCCCTCTGTTACCAGTTATGACTCCCCTTTCCTTTCTGCTTCTATTTAGTTGGGACTTTCCCCCCACTACTGTAGGTAAAAATTGTTGATTCTTCACGTATCTTTAAATTTCCTGGCTTTGTTCTTAATTTTCAATTTTATTCCACTGTGGTCAGAAAAATATCCTTGGGATTTCAAATTTCTTATATTTGATGAGGTTGCTTGGTGGCCTGGAACATTCTATACATGAGTGAAGAGCCCATGTATCTTGCTGCTTTTGGATGGCATGTTCTGTGTGCCTGTCAAATTCATTTGATAGAAGTGTCACACATATCTGGTACTTCTTTGCTGTTCTTTTGGAGTTTGTCTTGTTGAAAGTAAGTGACTGAAGTGAAATCAATCTGAAGAAAGACTGCCATAAAACAGGAAATTTCACTAAGCGTATCTTCATTTTCTCTATGCATACTATTTCAATGTAGATCAAGCTGCATGCAAGTTTTTATCTTTGATGTTTGAATCCGTCTATCTCGGCACAGAGTTCTGGGGACTGAAACTTTGAGTTTTAAGTGTCTTGGTGTCTTCTCTCCTGTGTCTGTAAAGTTTTCCTTTCATTCTCTTCCCTTTTTTTTCTTCTCTTTTATAATTCCCATAATGTAAATGTTAATCTTCTTGGTTTTACCCCTTAAATTCTGTAGACTCCTGTCATTCATTTCCATGCTGCTTCTTCCTGACTATTTTTAAAGAATCCTTGCTTCTGCTTGATCAAGCCCGCTGGGACCGCACTGCCTGGTTCCTTTCATTCGTTGTCATCTTCAGAATGGGTCCGATTCCTTATGATTTCTATTCGAATTTGTTTTGTTCCTATATTTTCTGATTTCATTAAATTGTGTGTATGTATTCTCTTATAACTTGTAGGTTTCTTTAAGATAATGATTTTTTTTTTAAAGATTTATTTTTATTATTTTTTATTGGAAAGGCGGATATACAGAGAGGAGAGACAGAGAGGAAGATCTTCCATCCGATGATTCACTCCCCAAGTAAGCGCAACAGGCCGATGCTATGCCGATCCAAAGCCAGGAGCCTCTTCCGGGTCTCCCACGCGGGTGCAGGTTCCCAAAGCTTTGGGCCGTCCTCGACTGCTTTCCCGGGCCACAGGCAGGGAGCTGGAAGGGAAGCGGGGCTGCCGGGATTAGAACCGGCGCCCATATGGGATCCCGGGCGTGCAAGGTGAGGACTTAACCACTTGCGCCACCGCGCCCGGCCCTAAGATAATGATTTTAATTTCCTTAGGCAATGAGTAGACATCTCTGGAATTACTCAGGCATCGTTGCATTCTTTTATGGTGCTGTTTCCTGGATTTTAGCGATTGTTGAAATTTTATGTTGACGACTTTGCATTTGAAGAAGCAATCACTTCATGAAGTCTAATGACCGGTGAATGCACGTCTCTCCCTAAGCCAGTCAGCTTGGCTTGGGATTCCAGACTCTCAGTGCTTTTCTGTGGATTCCCCTTCTCCAGACCTTTCATTTTGGGGGGGTAATTCTTTTTTTTTTAAAGATTTATTTATTCTTATTGGAAGATCAGGTATACAGAGAGAAGGAGAGATAAAGATTTCCATCCAATAATTCACTCCCCACGTGACCGCAACAACCAGTGTTGTGCTGATCCAAAGCCTCGAGCCTGGAGCTCTTCCGGGTCTCCCACACGGGTGCAGGGTCCCAAGGCTTTGGGCCGTCCTTGACTGCTTTCCCAGGCCACAAGCAGAGAGCTGGATGGGAAGTGGGGCCGCCAGGATTAGAGCCGGCGACCATATGGGATCCTGGTGCATTCAAGGTGAGGACTTTAGCCGCTACACTATCGTGCCAGGCCCGGGGTGTAATTCTTAAAATGATATGCTTTCCCTTAATCTTGCAATGCCATTCAGGGTGCTGGGAGGGTGCCTAGGGTAGTGCTCTGAAATACCCATATTTATGTACCTTCTCCCAATTCTGCAAAATCAAGCTGCTGTATTTCCAACACACTGGCAGTCGCCTCCTACAGCGGCATGCTCAGGAAGCCAGCATGGAGGTGACTGGTTAGGTACCGACAGCATCTGGGACATGAATGGGAGAGAAACGGTCCGCAGACAAGATTCCATGGAGGAATCTGTGGAGTGATTAGTAAGGTCCATGGCCTCTCCTCCTTTCTCTCAGGCATTCAGCCATGCCAATCATCCTGGTACTCTGGTTGGGTCAAGAAAGAAGTGAGACCCTTGGGCACCATCCCAGAGTGCAGAGACAGCCCAACACTCATTCATGAATTCTTACTTTCCTTTGGGGGGAAATCCTGGGTGAAAGGGGCCTTTCTTGGCACCCAGTCATTTCACCTTGGGAGAAAATGATGCAGCTCAGAGGATTGGTTGCTGGGTTGGTCAGTGTATCGATGCTCAGATTCTTTCCTCCAACGGTGTGCTGCCACTTCTCTGGACTTCCACACAGACGCCTGCCTGGGGCAGTTGACAAACATCAGTGCTTCTGGTTCTTCCACCTTGTGGATATTACTCTCTGAAACTATCTTTAAATAAATAAAATATTTCAGCTTCTCCTTACGCCCTGTTCTGGTGGATTTTGCTTGGGTTCTGTAAACTCTCTTTCCCCTCTTGGCCATTCTGAAATTTTATAATCCCTTTCTACTCCCATGTATACCTAACTATCAGAATTAAACAAACAAACAAACAAAAAAAGCCACACAAATGAACATTTAAAAAAATAAACATATTTTGAGCCTTAAGTACGGAAGAATAAGCATACAGATAAATAATTGCAAGGAGCAAAAACTTGGAATGTGAATCAAGACTGAAGATCTACAGGCATTCTGTCTCGTACACACATACTTTTGAAGACATTTCTCCAGCATTTCCAAAAGACAAAAGCAACATTTGCAACACTTGCAAATGCAACAGCTTTTGGAAAGCATTTCTTCCCTAAAATGATTTGACAGAACATTTACACGGTGACAGTACCTCCTCCATATTCCAAAGTTATGACATCTTTGTTTCACATTATAATTTTCATTCAAAATACAGAAAAACAATCAGTTCTGTTTGTATTTTCTCACATATTTCATCCCTTTTCTAATCATCAGGGAAAAATACAGATGACAGACTATAAAGTTTCCAAAATGCAGTATTCCAGCTTTGACATGTCATTTGTTCAGAATCTGAAGAACTCAACAATCACATGACTATTTTAGATAATATTAATAATTTAACAATAAAAAAAACCCCAGTGATTATAGAAGGAGATACCAAGTCTCAAAATACACTTTTAGCCACTTGTCACCTGGACGGTAAGTATCTAACCTAACTAAGGGCCAGGCATGCCTGGCCTGTGCTCCCTCCGGCTCCCTGCCAAGCACAGAGAACTTTGAAAGATGCTCACATTCGCAAAATAATCACTGTTGTTGAGCCACTGTCCAGAGAAACTTTGCTCTAGTGTGGTTTTTGTTTTTTTGTTTTTTTTGTTTTGTTTTAGTTCCTGTGGCACCAAGATTTGTTTTAATCCATATGAACATGCTTCTACTTTTAAGATCTTTGCGATCACAAAGAATACATTCATTAAGTTCCTGATTCTTAGCTAAAGTTCTTCTGATAACACGTTCTCCAGAGTCAGGATCTATGTCCTTTATAGTCATCGGATGACATAGGATTTCATCATTTCAAGATAAACCTGCTTAAATCAAGTGATATTCACTCTAAGAATACCCATTACCTGATCGGCCTTTCTTGTGCGTGTGGACATAATGTGAATATTATGGTAGATCAGTGTCATCGACATGGAGATATTCCCCACAAGCTTAGAGGCGTGAGAATATCAACATTTAAATTCTCACTGTAAACAAAACACAGTGGTAGGCACTGTGGAAATACATTTGGTCCTATTCTCCTTACCCTGAGCATGTTAAAAGGCAGACTATTCCATCAGCGTAGTAGCCTTTACACATTCTGGGGAGGAGAAGCCAATTTCTCCCTGTGCTGATGGAGTAGGTGCCTGGGCATGGTGCTACCACCTCAAAGGAGGATGGCCATACACCTGCCCCTGCAGGGTAAGAACAGCATGTTTCCAGAGGTCACCATTAAAAGGGGACACCTGGGCTGGCTGAAGCTATTACAGATTTCTTTATCCCAGAAAACATCAAGGCATAGCATAGAAAGTGATAGAAGAAAAGTGATAACTAGTCATTAGGATGAAATAATCTTATTATAAAATTATAAATTGAAAATAATGAATAGAGTAAAAAAAAAAACAAAAGCAACACATATAAAACTATCCCATTTCAAGTTGGACTGAAAAAATATAGGCGAGGCATTTATCCGCGATCGGAAGCAAAAACTCAAGATATTGTGCTTGTATCTGGGTTCCTTAGCTTTAAGAGAACACGATCCTCAAGCCAGGGTCACGGGTGGAAACTACATCCAGAATGTTTGTGGTCCACTGAAAGTACCTGGCACAGGAGCACAAGAGATGGGGACAAACAAATCTGAGAGGTCATCTGGAAGCCCAGTCCCGATTCTGTCCTCAGGTGCAGTAGCAGCATCATGCTGGGACATCATCCTCAGCTGGATGGTACTGACGGTGAACACCAAGCTGGCCAGCGCGCAGCACTGGCACAGTGGTCCCGCTGCGTAGTTTTATGTCTAAGCTGAATGTCCCTCAGTGTGTCTCACTAGACTGGACTTCCAGAGTATCATTTGGGAAAGTCTTCTAAACTTCCATTTTCTAACGCAAAAGTAAGCACCTGTTGTTTGTGAAGCAAATGTCAGGAGCTCACTTTCAGACATAACAAACGGCTGGAAATGGGGCATGGTCAGAGAGATGGTGGTGTTAGCGTGATTCAGCAAAGTATTTCAGACAAAAATATTGCTTCAAACAATAAAGCAAACTGACAGTTGTGCACTGAGTGTATACAGCAACTTCCACGTATGTGTGTGTTCTCTACCACCTATAAACCCAGCCTCGTTGCCCGTCTGGCTCTCCACGGTCAACACACGCTATCCCAGTGACTGCAGGAGACGGACTTCTCCTTTCACCTCAGAGTGATGAGTTTGACTGCTTGGACAATGCAATTTGTGGCTCTTGATCCACAGGACTGTCCATTGGCACCTGGAGAAGGAATGAGATGATGATATATGTAGCATTGGGCATACACTTATTTTCCAGAATGACAGTTGATCCAGGAAAAACAGCTGGCTAGGTAAGAATGGTTTCACACTTTATTGTGTGTGTGCTTTTCTCAATAGAATTGTAACAATGTTCATTACTTACAGCTTTAACATCAACATTTGTAATTCCTTTGTTTATGTTGTGTCTTCTCAGGTCAGACTTGATGAGTGCTGAAACACAGAAGCATCAGTGGAATTACCATCAGCTGCTTGTGAACAGATGTTTTTCTTTTTTATTATTTTTTAAGATTTACTTATATTTATTAGGAGGGCAGATATACAAAGAGAAGAGGAGGAGAAGAGAGAGAGAGGAAGATCTTCCATCCAATGGTTCACTCCCCAAGTGGCCGTAACGGCTGGAGCTGAGCTGATCCGAAGCCAGGAGCCAGGAGCTTCTTCCAAGTCTCCCATGCGGGTGCAGGATCCCAAGGCTCTGGGCCGTCCTCAACTGCTTTCCCAGGCCACAAGCAGGGAGTTGGATGGGAAGTGTGGCCACTGGGATTAGAACCGGAGCCCATAAGGGGAACCTGATGTGTTTAAGGCAAGGACTTTAACTGCTAGGTTACCATGCCGGGCCCCTTTGTGAGTCCTTGACATAATGAACATGTGATTCACTAATGAACAAATATGGGACTCTAAGAAACCAAAGGCACCATGGGCCCGGCGCAGTGCTGCAAGTGGTTAAGGTCCTCGCCTTGCATGCCCGGGATCCAATATGGGCGCCGGTTCTAATCCCAGCGGCCCCTCTTCCCTTCCAGCTCCCTGCTTGTGGCCTGGGAAGGCAGTCGAGGACGGCCCAAGGCCTTGGGACCCTGCACCCGTGTGGGAGACTCAGAAGAGGCTCCTGGCTCCTGGCTTTGGATTGAGATTGGTTCCGACCATTGTGGTCACTTGGGGAGTGAATCATCGGACGGAAGATCTTCCTCTGTCTCTCCTCTCTGTATATCCGCCTTTCCAATAAAAATAAAATAAATCTTTAAAAAAAAAAAAAAAGAAACCAAAGGCACCAAGATAAAAAGTACAATTCTTTTCCCCAGAGGATTTACCAACCTAAAGAAATACTGAAGAGCAAATAACTAAAATGCTGTAAGTCCAATACTGCAAATATGTAAAATGTGTAGTGGAAGTAGGGGAGACAAAATGCCTATGTCAGCCAAAGGAAACCAGGGAAGGCTTCCTGGAGGATGCGTGAAGGAAACTTCACAAACGAGGGCCTTGTCAGGCACAGAGAGGAAGATGTGCTAGGTAGAAGGCTAAGAGCAGCAAGAATGTAGCCCATTCCTGGCACGAGAGGTCAAGTACACTGGGTCAAGGACTGGGTCAGCAAGTGTCATGTCCACTGCGCAGACTTTCCATGCACCCGAGGAGGCAGGAACGTGATCAGATCTATGTCTTAGAGAGCTCAATACGATAGCAATGTGTGGAATGCTAACAGCCAAGGGCTCAGAGGCAGGCAGTCTGGCCAAAGGGGGTAAGGTCCTGACTGTGAAAGATGCTGCTTTAGGGGCAGGCTTCTGGGCTAGATTAGAATGTAACAATAAGGGTTAGACTGGGCTTGGACAGCGTCTGCTGGATGCGCCCACTGTTAGGAGCAGCATGTTCTGGCTATTTCACAACTATTCCTTTCTCCGTTGCCACAGCAGGAGGTGAAACACCAAAAGCACGCAGTGGCTCTCCCTTGGAATACTACTGCTGGACAAGGCCACCCTGAGCCTGAAGCAACCGGCCAACCTCAGTTCAGCTCCTCTCACAGTCTTGGCCCCAGTGAGCTGCAAGTCCCAGCTTTAGGACCCTGCACCCATGTGGGTACCCGAAAGAAGTTCCTGGATCCTGGCTTCGGATCAGCATAGCACCGGCCGTTGCGCTCACTTGGGGAGTGAATCATTGGACGGAAGATCTTCCTCTCTGTCTCTCCTCCTCTCTGTATATCTGACTTTCCAATAAATAAATCTTTAAAAAAAAAGAAAAGATACCCAAGGAATTAGGATACTCCATTACCTGTTAAGATGATGCCAGCAAACATCCAAACACAGAGGAAAATGTTTCCTTCCTGTGGGGTGTAGTCTGATGTGAGCTTTCCTTGAACCAATGTGAAAAAAATTCCAAATACCTAAAATAAGAGAAATCATGTTCTATCAAGATTGCTTCTTAAACACAAGTAGAAATGTTTTGCTCAGAACTTCTCTTAACAAGGCTTATATACACTTGGATTGCAAGAGACACGGAGAATTGGCCAGGGGAATGACATGGTCAAAGCCAGGAGTTAGGAGGGTATCGGATAAAACCGATCATTGCAGGTGTGAGAGCAATCAGGGCCTACCTGTGCAGAAGCATTCAGAAGACCAGAAGACGTGCCTTCCGATTCGGGGTAAGTGATTTCAACAGCAAATTCAAACCCCAAGGGCAGGTAGCCAGTCATGAAGAAACTGCGGAGATAAACGCAGGGCGACAGAAGCGTGAGTGGAGGACACCATTACAGAAGAGGCCATCGTGCCATTTCCCAGGCCTGTTCTAAGGATGCAGCCAGGGCGTATCCTGCAGTGGCCACGGAAGGAATCCCCGCTCTCGCCCGTGGCCCACGACCACTGAGCCGGGCAACCACACAATTCCAACGCTAGACTGAGAAAAAATGTACCCGTAGTTTTCTAAGTCCTCTCTCTTCGGAACTACATAAAATTATTTGGTGTTATCTATTTTTCACTAATAACATGCCAAAAACCAATTAAAACTACTTTTCAGAGTTTAAGAATTATACATTTATACACACAGAAAGGACCCTTTGAAGTTTCAAATACTAATTTTTGAATGAATCTAAAAATTAGGGGAGTAATATTTCAGAATCATAGCATCACACTCCCCATTTCTGCTGAACATCTGATCCTTACCCAAGTATCCCTCCAGTAACAAACAGGATGATAATGTTATTTTCCATGTTCACCTTCTTTCCAAGGTCCAACGTGAAAGTAAACACAACCATTCCCAAGAAAGATAAAATGTAAACTATGAGAGTAGTCTGTCTGAAACAGAAAATAAAAAAATGGTTAGTATTTTGTCTAATTCTCCTAGACACACACACAAAAAATCATCTGGCTAGTCTTTGCTCTTTCTTATATTAATAATTTTTGTTTTGTTTTACTTTCAAAATTCATTGCTACTTTTGATCTAAAGAAAATGTATCTGCACAAACTTTAAGACTCAGTGGCAGCAGACAACAGACTCATACCCTCCCGATACTTAGAAGGCACTCATACAAATCAATAATCCCTCTGGCCTCCAATGGGATCGTTTTTGATTCGTATCTGAAGACAATGGATCGGAGGTGGGTGCTGTGATGCAGCAGCTCAAGTCACTGCTTGGAATGCCAGCATTCCACACTGCAGTGCTGGTTCTAGGCCTGGCGACTCCACTGCCAGTCCACGGAGCTCCCCATCATGCTCCCGGGAAACAGCAGTGAGAGCCAAAGTGTCTGGACCCCCGACACCCACCCAGGATGGATTCATGCAATAGGAGTTCAGTGAATGAGTGGCAGATCCCCTGAGCGGGGGGGAACAAGGAACATATATCTATGCTTGTTACATTTTTTAAATATCATGAACTTTCATCTACAAACTGAGTTGAGTTCCACCCTAAGCTAGCATTTCACACTAATGTAGTAGCAGCAAATGCTGTCTTAAATCATGGGAGGACTGTCTTGGGGAATTTCTTTTTTTCTTTTTTTCTTTTTTTTTAAGATATATTTATTTTTATTGCAAAGCCAGATATACAGAGGACTAGAGACAGAGAGGAAGATCTTCCATCTGATGATTCACCCCTCCAGTGACCACAATGGTCGGAACCAATCTCAATCCAAAGCCAGGAGCCAGGAGCCTCTTCCAAGTTTCCCACATGGGTGTAGGATCCAAAGACCTTGGGCCATTCCCGACTGCATTCCCAGGACATGAGCAGGGAGCTGAATGGGAAGAGGAGCAGCCAGGACATGACCAGAGCCCACATGGGATCTTGGCAGTTGTTAAGACAAGGATTTAGCCACTAGGCTATTGTGCCAGGCCCTCTGATACTATTATTAAGTAGTACTATAGTGAGGGAATTTTAGCCAAAAAAATTACCAAAGAAAGCCTTAAGCCCAACAATGATCTTTTTTGATAGAAAAATAGCCTTACTTTTAAGCCTAGAACAAGAAAAAAAACAAGATAAAGTCTCCATAAAAACTCAAACATTATCCAGAAGGAGTTTTGGAGTAGAAACGATTCCTCTGGCGTGTCTCTGTGCGTGATGTTAGATAGAAGGACTGAAAGGTACACGAGGGCCCGGTGCCATGGCCTAGTGGCTAAAGTCCTCGCTTTGAACACGCTGGGATCCCATATGGGTGCTGGTTCTAATCCTGGCGGTCCCGCTTCCCATCCAGCTCCCTGGCTGTGGCCTGGGAAAGCAGGTGAGGACGGCCCAAAGCCTTGGGATCCTGCACCCATGTCAGAAACCTGGAGGAGTTTCCTGGCTCCTGGCTTCGGATCAGCGCAGCACTGGCTGTTGCGGTCACTTGGGGAGTGAATCACCGGACAGAATGACTTTCCTGTCTCTCCTCCTCTCTCTACACATCTGACTTTGTAATAAGAATAAATAAATCTTAAAAAAGAAAAGAAAGAAGAGCACATGAGATCTCAGGAGGTGAGACAGTCTGACCCATAAGACAAAGCACAGACGGTGGAAATGTTTGCAAAGTGATAGGAATCTAAGACAGCTTAGAATTCAAGTCTGTAAGTAATAATAACTTTTGAAATTCTTACAATAAACAATAAAAGTGACTTGGAAAGCATAGATCCTTGGTTCTATGCTGCTCTCCATGCTTCTACTTTCACTCACTTGTATGCTTTGGTGTAATCCAGCCACAGGCCACAAAGCATAGAGCCCAGCATGCCGGCCACCACCAGAGTGAGCCCAATCCTGCCAGCGTTTACCTCTTCCCCCTGCAGAGAAGGTGCGAGACGTCAACCAGACACTGCTCATGCTTATACCTTTTCATAGTCGCCAGACATAATCAGAGGAAATTAAGTGTAGAATATAATGGGGAGACAAGGTACCTTGTGGGTTTGGACATTCTATTTCTAAAAAAAGAAAATCTTGGAATTATGAAAGAGATAAAGAAGAAAATATCTCCTTGGTCATCCATGGTTAGAAGTACAATGATTTTTGTTAGGATTCTTAAGTAAGTTATGGATGTCTGGAGAGGAGTTAGGCTGAAACCTTACACACAACACAACTGCCTTCAAAGGCAGAGGTCAGTTAGAGCTTGGTATTTACTGCTTTAAGTTTATGGTTGATCTCAAAATAAGTGTTTATCTTTTTCCATGTAACCAGTGACCCTATGTCTTAAAAAGAAGAAAATGAAAACTTAGGTTTTGTCAAAGCAATAACAACTTCTGTTTTCCATGCTGTGTGTTTCGTAAATTGAGTTAAACATATTCTCAATGGAAACCAATGTTAAACCTTATACAGCAAAAAGGTTATAATTCTTAATCGTACAGTCATGCTAAGAGGCATTAATTTGCTAAAGAAAAAAACCCTTGGTTAGGCACGCAATGCAATGTATGTAGAAGCTTACCGGGTAATATGTCAATATCATTTGATTTAATAATGTTGAGATTGAATAAAATGCTCCAGTCATGATACCTACAATAACAGAAAATGATAAATGCATCTTTTGCCTGAAGGGATGTAGAACACCATGAGACAACAGTGCAAAGAGAGTGCGTTTCTCAGACACTTGACAAAAACTTTAAAAATTATTGCCATCCCTTTTTATTTTTAATTTTGTTTTATGACACATTTCATAGGCTCTGGGATTCCTACTCCTTCCTGTGCCCTCCCCTCATGATGGATTCCTCCACATTGTTGCAGTAGGACAGTTCAAATCCAGTCATGATTCCTTCATTGCAAGCATGTATCATGCATAGAGTCTAGCATCTTATTGTCCAGATAAATTCAACAGTTTCTTGGGGAGACCATCTTCGGTCTGAAAGTAGAGCTGGCAGAATATCATCCCATCCAATGAAAAGCCACTACATAACATCAACAACAATTTAAACCATTGTGGAGTTAACTGACATGGTATTGAGTGACCAACATGTTAGAAAATGCAAATTCTTAACCACATCCTGTGACTACTTCATTGACATTTCAATTTTAGTTTATAACAACTGGCTGCTATGCCACCCCTTTTGAGAAGACAGATTGATCAACTGAAAACCTAAATTCACAAAATTATGGCAGTAGAAATTGGCCATCATGTTTTCACTATTGGTTGTTATTTACTGGCCATAAGTCACATCTCCCAAATAACAGTGCTGTAACCCGGTCAGCAATAAATCTAAAATGACCCCTTCAATGGACTCTGGCCAATCAACCCTAAAGGAATGACAGAATTCCTAGTTTGGTGACCTCCCCCCTGTTTCAAGGACTTCCAAGACACCAGTAATTAAAGAATATGTAGGGACTGGGCTGTGGTGCGGCACATTGAGCCACCACCTGGGATGGTGGCAGCCCTTATTGGAGAACCAGCTCAAATCCCAGTTGCTCCCCTTCTGAGCAATCCAGCTTCCTGCTGATGCTCCTGGGAAAGCAGTGTAAGATGCCCCATGTTCTTGGGTCTCTGCCACCTGTGTGGCAGACACAGATGGAGTTTCTGGCTCCTAGCTTTGGCCTGGCCAGCCCCAGCTATTATGGCCATTTAGGGAGTGAACCAGCAGATAGAAGATCTTTCTCTCTTTCACTCTCTCTATAACTCTTACTTTCAAGTTAAATAAATAAACCTTTTTTTTTTTTTTTTTAAAGCAAACCAAACTCATTGATTTCAGAGGGTGTGCATCTTTTCAAAAGTGTACCAAAGAAGACAGTAGTGAATTTTACTTCTGGAGGCAAGGGACATAGAAGCAGGGAGCGTCAGTTGTTACACTTGCAGTGATGGCGATGTAGCAGTGTTAGCTCGGCAGAGAACCAAGTGTGTTGGCACCTGCAGTCTACGCTACAGTGTTAGGGTACATGTCTGTCAGAGGAACCCAAATTTCTTTTTTAAAGTTAGAATTGGTTAAGGTGAGCTCTAGTGAAAGGGTTAATTTTAAGGGTGACTATGCTCCTGGAAGTTTGGAATCTCCCATGAGACACCTGAAACCTGCTTCCTGAACACCAGGAGGCAGACAGGAGACAGGGAGAATCTGGGAGCTTTTAGATTTACCGTAGAGGCATGCTGTGTTATTACTGCTTCCATTGAAGTGATTCAGGACCCCCAGCCTATACATTGTTCTGTTTTGTGTCACTGTTAGCACCAATCATGTACTTGCTCACTGTCACGAAGCTTCTGATTCTCTTACTATAAAAAAACCAGGATTAAAGCAAAACAAAACCCCACAATTATTTCGTTTGAGGTGCTTCTTGCCTATGGTCAGAAGTTGCCCCTTAACTAGAAATTCAAATCATCTCGCTTGCTTTGGAGCCGCGCTTGGATTCACTGAACCCCAACACTCTAGCTTTGGTAGTTAAAATAGATGCCACTTTGCACAAGGCCGAAGAAAGGAGTTGCTGATAGCATTTCCTACATTCCTTTGGGAGTCATAATTATAGCTCATCCTGGCCTAAACTGTATGAAAAAAAAAGATAGCACTTCTCTCTCTGAGGCCTATTGTTTAAGAAAAAGTTGATGTAAGAAAATCCATCGTTTTTCACTTTTAGTTCAATATTTAAGTTCATGACTGTGCTGAAAGTATAGCGTTCACAAATCAACCCCAGTCCAAATCACTATGCTACGTGAAAAGAATCGAAAGTACCCCAAGGTTTGTGCAGGCTTACCATAGGTTATCAACAGAAGAACAAAAGCTTTATTTTTAAATAGATTTATTATAGACTTCTTGTAGGAGTAGTCTTCAGGTGGACTAGCCCGAAGAGCTGCTTGAGCCTGGCTTGGTGGGTACTGAGGTCTCTCCTTGAATACTAGAAACCAACAGAAAGCGGACAACATATAATGAACATACATGTATGGTATCATAGTTATAATTTATCTTTTTTATTGAGCAGGCAGAATTAAGACTTAGTTTAAAGAGCTAGAGAATGTTTCCTGGTGAGGTTTTTCCATTTTCACTGATTAAAAAAAAAAGATTTATTTATTTTTATTACAAAGTTAGAAATACAGAGAGCAGGAGAGAGAGAGAGAGAGGAAGATCTTCATTCCAATGATTCACTCTCCAAGTGGCTGCAACAGCTAGAGCTACACGGATCCGAAGCCAGGAGCCTCGAGCCTCTTTTGGGTCTTCCATGCGGCTACAGGGTCCCAAGGCTTTGGGCCGTCCTTGACTGCTTTTCAGGCCACAAGCAGGGAGTTGGATGGGAAGCGAGGTCGCCAGGATTGGAACTGGCACCCCTAAGGAAACCCGATGCATCCAAGGCAAAGGCTAGCTGCTAGGCTACTGTGCCAGGCCCCTTCCACTGATTTCTAAGTCAAAAATAGTTGTGGTATTATCATCTCCAACCTCTGAATCTAAAACTCCAGAAGTTTGACCAACTCAAACAAATGAACTGCAAAACTCAAATAAATGCACTGCAAAACTATGATGTTACCTGTGAATTATTCCATACTCAGTTAAGAACTCTATTTTTAAATTCAGAACACTTTGCAACTAAAGTCAAATATCAGATTTGAGTGAGCTAAAACCTAACCAAGTGTTCAGAGGCCTTTCTTCAATATGTAAGTAATTTCTTCTGAAATTGGACAGTTTATCATGTGGTCCAATTACATCCCTAGGACTGAAAATGTGCAGGTGCACAGATGGCAGCAGAGCGGGCTGGTTTCTGTCAATTCACTTAGGCTACATGTGGACAACAGGAGGGGCAGCTAAGAGACCAGAGTGCTGGACCTGGAACGTCAGCTTTGCTCAATCCCAGGTAGCGTTCTCAGCCTTTTGAGTGAGACGAGGCCTCCCTTAGCAGGACAGGAAAGGATCTGCCAGCATCCCAGAACTAATGGTGAGGGACAGACTTCTACAGGATACACCCAAGTCCAGGCCAGTGATGGAAGGGCTGACCTGCTCAAATCTGCCAATTAGGAATGAAATGTGGTGGGCCCACTCAACAATTTTAATTATAATAAAACAAAAACACTGCATGTCATTGAGCCCCAGGTCATCGTCTGACACTCCCACTCATGATCTTGTCTGCACCCATGAAAGGTTATCACCAACTATGTCCCAATTAGGATAAATGCTAGAATTACTCCTTGATGGTAAATCACAAAAGGAACAAAAAAAGGTAATGTGGATTCAGAAAAACATTTCCTGGAAGATTAGAATTTTTCCTTTTCTTCCTCCTTTTTTCTAAGAGTGGTTCTTTCATTTTTTTTTTTTTTTAGGTTTTTTTTTAATTGGAAAGTCAGATTTAGAGTGAAGGAAGAGATAGAGAGAGATCTTCAATCCGCTGGTTGATGAATCTACCACCCCAGGCCTGGTTCTTTCTTTTTAAAAAAGATTTATTTATGGGCCGGACTTGGTGGCCTAGTAGCTAAAGCCCTCGCCTTGAATATGCCAAGATCCCATATGGGCGCCGGTTCTATTCCCGGTGACCCAGCTTCCCATCCAGCTCCCTGCTTGTGGCCTGGGAAAGCAGTCAAGGATGGTCCAAAGCCTTGGAACCCTGCACTTGCCTTGAAGACCCAGATCTGGCTCCTGGCTTCAGATCCGTGTAGCTCTGGCTGTTGCAGCCGTATGGGGTGTGAATCATTGGATAGAAGATCTTCCTCTCTGTCTTTCTTCCTCTCTGTATATCTAACTGTCCAATAAAAATAAATCTTAAACACACACATACACACACAGACTCATTCAAACAGAACCTCTACGATGGAACCTGAGGATGTGTATTGAACAGAGAACGCCTCTTATCAACAGCCATACAAGCCCCCCAATTGCTAGAGGCAATAACCCAAGACACCCATGAAATGCTGTACCTAATTGTGTTTGTTGTTAAAAAATTAAAAAAAAAAAAAAACCTTAAGTTCTTTGTCGGCTTTTGTGATACACCTAAAATGTATCTAACTGCTAACTTCATTTCTGTAGTTCTCCCAGTTCAAGGAGGTTAAATTCCTAAGTATTTACTTTTTCAGGCCCTGAACACCGGAGGACTGGCAGACTGAAGGCATTTAAGTTGCTGGAAGGGCCTTGTCTTACTTTAGCCCTAACTGACCCTTGTACTGTCAGGATGTCTGCTGCGTTTTCCTGAAAGTTGCTTCATGTCCTGATTGGGTACGAGAGAATTATTTCTTTATTAACATTAGTGACACAGAACTCACACAGTTGTAAAAGTTTCCAACCACAAAAACTATGCTTACCGGACAGTCCCAGGTATTAGCTGAGTGTTCAGCCTCAGGTTTTTATTTACTATGGTCAAAGAAGCCTAAATTGTCCCAAAACTTAACTCAAATGCAAAAGCGAAAACAACCCTTGAATTCCACAGGATTTATTTTTCTTAGTATAAGTGTTACCTTTTAGTTTCAGGCAAATTATCTTCTTGCACAACCAAGCCTACACTCAACAGCTAAATGTTGTAGTAAAAATCAGACTTAATTGTGTCTATGTGACGAGAAGAGGAACAAAAATTTTCTCTTAGTAAAAACTGGCACCAAAAAAGGAACTGGACTTTAAAATGGGTTGTTCTTACATCCTAGAATGAGTTACACAAAAGGGACAAAGCATTCCTCAGCACCACATTCAAACTTTCCCTCCCTTTCCGAAGCAACCTATTCCTGCTTAGAGCCACTCTTATTTTCTGAAACCAGATGATAAGACTATCTTCCTATTTCATTATCTGCTCTTGTGTGAGTCAAGCTGATAAGGAAAGTGGGTGTGATCGTTGTTTCCAAATTTTCTATTTCTTCTTCCTAGTAAGGAATGAATGTTAGGCGCCCAAGTGTTTAAGTACGTTAATATGTAATATTTTGATTGCCATTACTTTTCAGTTTACACTAAGATTTTAATGGGCACACTTATGCTAAATGATAGCTTACTGTTCTCCTATGCAAGAATAGCTTTGAATACAGCAGCATTACCACTCATGCCACAGGAATTTGAACAACAAATAAGACTAAGTAAAAATTAAAATATTATATAGCATTTTGTATAGAGAGTTAAGTTGCCTAGATTTAAATCTGACCTAAAGTAGCTATTGTGATTTTGAACAAACTAATTTCACTAAAATTCTGCAACCCAGTTTCATCAATTTTTAAGAAAGTGGAAATGGTACGGGAGGACATAAAACTAAGACAGCGGCTGGGGTGGAATGGGATGTGGGACAGACTGGATTACTGCTACACTTACTGGCAAACCAGGGTAGGGGGTGGGCCTGGTTGGGGTTATTGTGGGTCGCTCCAACCTAGGCTACAGCTCCCGCTGGTTTATGTGAGGGCCAAGTATGTGCTGGGCAGAACCAGACTGGACTGCAACACCCATTGGCTCCAGTGGAAGACGGGAGTGAACACAGAACCAACCCAGGAATTGCAACCACCAGCTGATTGGAGCGATGGACGGTGCCAGGCCCTGTACTTGTTAGCACATACAAGAAGTTTCTTTGGAGATCTTCCTAATCTAAATGCTGGACTCAGAACCATAACAAAGAAAAGAGCGAAGACAGACCGGGTCAACCAACCATCTAAGCTATGATGGACTATGTCAATCAGTGGATTTTTCAAAGACCTCATAGTGCTTGGAGTGGCAAGATTGACAGCGATTCATAACTGTTGCAATATCAAAACCACTTGAGCAAGAACCTCAGAGCATGCCCTACACCCGGGACTTGGGGAGGGTGGGAAATTGGGTGGGCCTTCTCCCTTAAAACCCCCCTTTTAAACATGAAGGTAACAATATGGAAAACATATTAGTATTATCCACTTTCCTGTAGCCCTTGAACCTTCTTACCCTAATTAACTATGTAAAGAATGTCAAAATAAAATTTATTAAAAAAAAAAAAAAAAAAAAAAAAAAAGAAAGTGGAAATGGTAATAAGAGAGCCCTCCCCACAGAGCTGGGAAGGTTAAATGAGACACAGCAGTAGGGGACCTTTAGCCTTCTGTGTCACTATATATACTGACCAATCAAAGGCTAGATGCTTTAAATAAGAGTTCTTCTAGTAAGAGTAAACATTAGTGCGAAATTCACTGGAAGGTTCATGTTAATTCCTGGAACTACTAAATGCATTATTCTCACATAGAAGCCCTAAGAGCGAAGGCAACTGGTTTATATAACATGAACATTCAAAATAGTGTTTTAAAGATACTGCAGAGTGTCAATTTAGTATATATCATATTACTGGACAACGTATTTATAGGACCAAATAATTAGGTGCAAAATATAGAGAAAAGAATGACCAGTTCATGGTAGTTAAGGGATTCTAGGACTCAAAAAATAATCCAAATTTTACTTCAATGTGGGAATGAAAGATCTTCCATTAAAATATTATAATTTACAAGTTAAGACTTTCACATCACAATTACATATATTTTTTCTTTTTATACTACACATAGCACCATGAGATTAAAATTATAGAGCATCAGGTTTTTCTTCATTCTATTCATTCTTTCCACCCATTTATGTATTTCTGCCCCATATGTCATGAATGAATGAGGAATATTAGCTTTCTGGATTCAGAGTGATATGCCAATGATTATCTACTACTATCATCTTTAAGTCTTCCTCCCTCAACAAATGAAAGTCTTTCATCTGCGGTCATTTATCACATACACATCATTTGACATCTTCAAATATCTTATATACAGTCTATTACTCTCTTATAGACAAAGGTTTTGTTGTTGTTACTCAAAAAGGAAAGGGAATTTTACACTTTAAAAATTCCCATTGCAAAGGGAGGCATTTTGCCCAGGGGTTAAGATGCCTGTGTTCCTAGCTGAACGCCTGGGCTTGGGTCCTGGATCTGCAAGCTCCTGGCTCGAGCTTCCCACTAAGGAAGACCCTGTGGAGTGCTGCCTTGAGGAACTGGGCTTCCTCCTTACCTATGGGAGGCATGCGCTGTGTCCTCACTGCCAGACGCAAGCTGGGCTGCCCGGTCCTGGCCATCCTAAACATTTGGGAGCACACACATACTCGCTCTCTGTCTCTCAACCTCTCAGAAAAATTTTAAAGAGAAAGGAGAGTAGATGTAAGAGGATCTTTCACAATAACAATTTTCTTTCAAAACATTATTATATGGCTATTTTCAGTATCTGTTCACTGAATCTATGCCATTCTGGGACTAACAGGAAACATAACAACCAACCCCATGCAGACTGGACCTGTCAGAATACTTTAAATGTTACTGAGAGAACACTGCCCATCATGTTCCGGGAAACAAAGTTTGCAGGCCAAGTTCTGTAATTCCATCCTGTGGTTGGCCTACCAAGGCAGTTGCTACTGAAACGCTCTATAGTCCCCAGGACACATTTCTTTGAACACTGAAGATTTCACAGCTGGAGATTTAAAAAAAAATTTTATGAATTCTTCATTACTGTTCTAGCCAGGATAAAAATGAAAACATAAATCTAAAAACTCCCAGCTACAATACAGCTTAGCTGTAAATGTGAATGACTAAAAGATAGCATTTCAACTTTGGAGTTCCTTTCCTCTTCAAATCAACTTGGGTTACTGAGTGTATATACAGGGAGGGCGGTCACAGCTCTCGCTAGCAGCTGTACTGGCTAAATCAATCTGAGTATCCCATCTCCCTGAAATCAAAGCGGTCTCTCGTGAAAGACAAACTTAAAAAAGCAGACCTTCCCAGAGCTTCCTCCGAACTGGTGGTGGCTGCTGGCAGCTGATTGTGACAGACTGCGTCAAGAGACAGGCCCAGGCGAGGACTCAGAGACGGATGGAGGCAGCCAGGATTTGCTGGAGTGGCCTAACAAGCAGATGGTTGCCAGAGTGTGAAATTCTGCTGAACACCTCTCTGCTATTCAGAAGCAGGGGACATTTTCACATCCAGTTAATTGTTAAGTCAGTTAGCCTTGGGAGAATTTATTAGAGGGGAGACTGTAGCCTACCGGCCTCATTTCAAAGCATGACAAGCATCTGCTCCTGCTACACAGGCACAAGGTGCAGACCAAGGAAATGGATTCGGACAGAGGAGGCAGGTGATACCTTTGAAACAGTTACCAGGAAGAAAAGTTAGTAGGGAAAGAAATGAGATGAATTAGTCTTCAAAGCCTTCAATGATGCTAAAACAGATGGAGAATACCGGAACATATCCTTAGGACCACAGCATTCATTCATTACCTGGGCAGGCCAGTGCATACAAAAAAGAATGAAACAAGCGAAGGTCATTTGAGACGCTAACCATAAAAATGTTCTGGGCTAGTTATTTTTGAATTTTTGTCATGCATTCATGTAAGTTTTAGGAAAAAAGAATTCACTTACCAATGGCTGTCAGAATAAGTAAAAGAGTAGCAACAACTGATGTTCCATAAAACATGGTGCTGATATTAGAAGCCACACTGGTACTGTTTGTGTTGGGCACTAAAACCGGTGGTAGCAAAAAGCCAACTGCAGTTCCAAGCTGTACAATATAAAGATATAAAGTCAGTAGCTGCCAATATGGGGAAGAGGGGGTGGGCAGGAAGCAAATTTCAGTATTAATAGAACATAAAGAAGACAGCTACTATTTGTAAAGATGCATTGTAAATTTTAAAGTATTATGTTCCAGTGTCTTTGTTATGATCACATGTGTCAAACTGCTGAAAAGTTGTATTCTACATTTACTGAGTTCCTATTCTCTGAATAATTCTGCTATAAAGTTGTACGAGATAAAAATCCTTGCCCTTAAGATGCTTACAACCAAAAGGGGAGAAAAAGAACAGTCTTAAGAAAAGGCAGCTTACGGGGCCCGGCGCGGTGGCACAAGTGGTTAAAGGTCCTCGCCTTGCACGCCCGGGATCCCATATGGGCGCCGGTTCTAATCCCGGCAGCTCCGCTTCCTTTCCAGCTCCCTGCCTGTGGCCCGGGAAAGCAGTCGAGGACAGCCCAAAGCTTTGGGAACCTGCACCCACGTGGGAGACCTGGAAGAGGCTCCTGGCTTCGGATCGGCATAGTATCGGCCCGTTGCGCTCACTTGGGGAGTGAATCATCGGACGGAAGATCTTCCTCTCTGTCTCTCCTCTCTCTGTATATCCGCCTTTCCAATCAAAAAATAATAAAAATAAATCTTTAAAAAAAAAAAAAAGAAAGAAAAGGCAGCTTACAGCATGGGAGAAAATACTTATAAATTATGTATTGGATAAGAGTTGAGTAGTCAGAATTTACAAAGGACTCTTATAACTCAACAACAAAGACAAACACTACAATTCAAAAATGGGCAAAGGACTTGAATACCCAACTAAGACATTAAGGGGTTGGTGCCAAGGCATAGTAGGTTAAACCTCTGCCTACGGCACAAACTTCCCATATGGATACTGGTTCATTTCCTGGCTGTTCCACTTCCCATCTCTGCTAATGTGCCTGAGATGGTCCAAGTCATTGGACTCCTGAACCCATGGAGACCTAGGAGAAGCTCCTGGATTCTGGCTTCAAACTGGCCCTGCTTTGGCCATTGTGGTCATCTGGAGAGTACATTAGCAGATGGAAGATCTCTTTCTCTGTCTCTCTCAGCTGTAACTCTTTCAAATAAAAAAGAATTTTTTAAAAGAAGTTAACATCACATCCTTGAAAAAAAAAAAGACAAATGGCCAATAAGCATATGAAAAACTGCGGTATCATGGAGCCAGTGTCATGCTGTATGTTCATGAAGAAATGTTCTAAGCCAAGGAAACACTACATACTCTCAGGAAAAGGAGAGTATGACTGGGCAGAGGTTAAATATACAGTTTGGCTTCAACCAGAGAAAGTACCATGTGTGGTGAGTAGCAGGTGTAGGAGATGAAACCAGAGCCAGCAGAAGCAGATCCAAAGGATCTTACATGCCACATTAGAGTTTGGAATCTAGGGCCCGGCGCGGTGGCACAAGTGGTTAAGGTCCTCGCCTTGCATGCCCGGGATCCCATATGGGCGCCGGTTCTAATCCCGGCTGCCCTGCTTCCCTTCCAGCTCCCTGCCTGTGGCCTGGGAAAGCAGTCGAGGACGGCCCAAACCTTTGGGACCCTGCACCCGCGTGGGAGACCCAGAAGAGGCTCCTGGCTTCAGATCGGCATAGCATCGGCTGTTGCGCTCACTTGGGGAGTGAATCATCGGACGGAAGATCTTCCTCTCTGTCTCTCCTCTCTGTATATCCGCCTTTCCAATAAAAAAATAATAAAAATAAATCTTTTAAAAAAAATAAATAAATAAAAATAAAAAAATAAAATAAAAAAAAGAGTTTGGAATCTATTCTAAGCACAACAGGAGCAATTGAGGAGCACAAGAGTATCAACATTCCTTAGTAGAGAGGAAGGGCTGCACTGGGCCCAGTGCTGGCATGGCACAGGGTAACCCTCCATCTGCGGCACCAGCATAACACACAGGCACAGGTTCCAGTTCCAGCTGCTCCACTTCCCATCCAGCTCCCTGCTGATGCCCTGGGAAAGCAGTAGAGGATGGTCCAAAGCCTTGTGAGCCTGCACCCACATGGGAGACCCAGAAGATCCTGGCTCCTGGCTTCAGATCAGCCCAGCCTCGGTCATCGCAGCCATTTGGAGAGTGAACTAGCAGGTGGATAATCTATCTCTCCTTCTCTCTCTGTTTAACTCTTTCAAATAAAAATAAATAAATCCTTAAAACAGGATCAAGAAATGCCACTGCATAATAATCAAAATGAATTTAAATGGGAGAGCTAAGTGACACCATAAACAGAACTATGTGATCGTAGGGGAAGAACACTCTAAGCAGAGGTAACACTTTTGTTAAGTCCAAGTTCAACATTATCCAAGGACCCAAGGAAGTAAGGTTTCATAATTCACAGTCAAGAGTTTACATTTCATTAAGTACTATAGGAAATCATTAGCAAGTTCAAAGCAGGACAATGGCATGATCTGATTTGTGTTTGAAAACATTCTCAGTGGGTATTGTGATCAAACCAGCTGAGCCACTACTTGCAAAACCCACATCCCACGTGAGAGTGCTAGTTTGATTACTGCTGTCTTCTATTCTGGTCCAACTTCCTGCTAATGTATCCTGAGAAAGCAGACAACAGCTCAGGTGCTTGGACCCCTGACACCCACACTGGAAACTCAACTGGAGTTCTGGTTTCCTGGCTTTAGCTTGGTCCAGCCCTGACCGTTAGGTGCATTTGGGGAGTGAACCAGTGGATGGAGCTTTGCAAAAATCAATTTATGCAGCCGGCATGTTGGCTTAACAGGCTAATCCTCTGCCTACAAGCACCAGCATCCCATATGAGCTCCAATTCATGCCATAGCTGCTCCACTTCTAATCTAGCTCCCTGCTGACAGCCTGCGAAAGTAGTGGAAGATGGTTCAAGTCCTTGGCTCCCTGCATCCATGTGGGAGACCCAGAAAATAATGGCTTCAGATCATCTTAGCTTTGGCTGTTGCAGCCATTTGAGGAGTGAACCAGAGGACAGAAGATTTCTCCCTCTCTTCTATAAATCTGCCTTCCAAGTAAAAATAAATAATTCGTGAAATTCAGTGTATTGCTCTTTCAGAGATTTCCAAATCATTAGAAGCTCACACAGATATATCTGAGCTATTAATTTTGATTTCTACTGCCCAAATCATATCCAGCTATGAAATTTAAACAAATCATACTGTGATCCTCAAACAAATGTTAGACTTGATGTAAGCAAATAGCATTCTTGGGCCAGCACAACGACTTACTTGGTTAACCCTGCCCCTGGAAGCCATTGGGATCCCAATATTGGAGCAATTTGTGCCCTGGATGATCCACTTCCCATCCAGCTCCCAGCTTATGGCCTGGGAAAGCAGTGGAAGATGGCCTGAAGCCTTGGGACCCTGCACCGGTGTGGGAGACCCAAGGAGGCTCCTGGCTTCAGCTTCACTCAGCTCTTGCCTTTGTAGCAAGTTTGGGAGTGAACTACTGGGTGGAAGAACTCTGTCTCTCCTTCTCATTAGAAACTCAAATTTACAGAGAAGGAGAGACATAGAGAAAGGTCTTACATCCACTGATTCAGTCCCCAAGTGACCACACAGCAGGAGCTTTGGACCTTTCCCAACTGCTTTCCAAGGCCTGAGGTAGAGAGCAGTTGGGACACAAACTGACACCCATATGGGATCTGGGCACTTACAAGGCAAGGAGTTAGCCATTGAACTATCACTCGCACAGCTCTGGTATTCAAATTATAGCTAGATTTGCCTCAAACTGAATGAACATTCAATATCATTTATATGAAGGGCCATAGAACTCCCATATGCAGAATTTATTTGAAAGAACAAGTGAGGGGACAGAGAGCTTCCATTTACTATTCACTCTCCAAATGGCCACAGCAGCTTTGTCTGGGCTAGGCAGAAGCCAGGAGCCAGGAACTTAGTCCTGGTACCCCACATGGGTAACAGGGGCCCATGTACTTAGCCCATCATCCATTGCCTTCCTAGGCACATTGGCAGGATGTTGAATCCAAAGCAGAGCAAATAGGACTTGAATTAGCATTCCAATAGGGGATGCCAGTGTTAGCAGCTTAACCTTGTTGTACTGGATGCAAAATCTAAAACTACAAAAGAGCCAATCTGCAATTCACACAGGCACACACATCACTCTGCCTATTGCTGCTACTAGAATGTTAATGGCATTTGGACCTGGTATTAGGAATGACCAGGGAATTACATAATGGAGACAGCCAAAGCCACCCTTTTACCATGCATTCCGGGATCTGTGATTTGTCTTGCACCTACTGTTAAAAAAAAAATTAATAACTGGGCTCAGCAATGCTATGAACTCTCAATCACCAGAACATTTATTTAGCAATTGTTGATACTGTCCACTAAGTACCAGGCACTGTGCTGAGTGGTAACACACAAAATTAAACAGGGGCTGTTTACAATGCAAACAAACATTCCAGAAACCAACACCTTCCTCAGGAAGAACGCAATACCTCCGGGAATTTCATTCATTATTGCACTGACAAGCTCGCTTTGAGAGGTGTGTTCAAGCCAGTAATAAACGGTTTTATAGGTGATTTTCATTGTAAGATGTTTACTAGCAGTTTACACTGGCTTTGCAAGTTTGATCCTTATCAAGAAATTAAAACTTAGGGCTACCTCCCATCTTAGTGCAGTTCATCTCTCATCTGCAAAGGTCATCCAGAAGGATCATGCACCCTCCTAGCTCACAGCCAGGTTACTAGCTCACGCGGCTTATCACCAACCACCGAAGTCCTTACCTGATTGCCCAACACGGCTGTAGCACAGGCTGTGGACACCTCCTTGGGCCCAAACCACACCGAGGCGATGCGGGAAGGCAAGCCCAGGATAAACACCTGGGCCACGGAGCAAAGACACTGGCCCAGCATGGTGACCCAGAAGAGGTGCGGCTGCAAGCTGCCGCACTTGACCCAGGCGCCTAGGCAGTTAAGGCCTGAGCCCAGCAGCGCGGTGAACCGCAGGCCTTTGATGTCCAGCAGCCAGGTGGCTGGGAAGATGAGGGGCACGTAAGCCAGCATGTACACCATGGACAGCCAGTCAATGTGCAGCAGCGAGACTTGGTAGAAGTTCTTGAAGACGTTGCTGATGATGCTGTACTGGATCCACTGAAAGGCGTTCACCAGCGAGTAGAGGCTGAAGATCATCAGCACCACAAAGCGCCGCGAGGACAGTGCAGTCCGGAGCAGCGCCGCGCCCTCGGCCCCCGGGGTCTCCGAGCCAGCGTCGGTGGGCAGCAGCCGGGCCTGAGTCTCCTCTTCTGGGACCAGCAGAGTCTGCGGCCCTCCCAAAGCGGCTGCGGGGCTGTCCTGGGAGACCCCGTTAAGCAGCAGGCAGCCGTCTTTGGACTCATTCTGCTGCTCCAATTTCTCCCCGGGGGGTGCTTCTTGCGGCACCGGGAGGAATCCATTCGGCAGCGGGTGCCCGGGCGCCATCGGCGACCCCACCTCCCCGTCCCCCCGCGCCATGTCCCGGGGCTCCCTTACGCCTCGTGATGTCCCCTCCGCCCCTTCAGTGCTGCAGTCGCGGTCCAGAACCCAAGTCCCCTCACCCCTCAGGGCTCCAGGCCCACTCCCTCGGTCCGCCGTTCTGCTACCTTCCCAGGCGGCGCGGGCGCAGGCGGTCAGGTGAAGACCTTCTACCCTAGAGCCGGCGGCAGACTTCACTCAGGGCAAGGCCCCACCCCGGGAGCGCTGCGTCGTGAGCCCTGACCGCCATGGCCAATCAGCGGAAGTCTCCGTCTGACGCGTCAGGGAGCTTCCTGGTGTGTGGGGTAAGCACCCCGAAGGCCTGTAGGAAGGCGGAGGGCGGCTGTGACTTCTTCCGGGAGGCTGGGAGGGTCCCGCATCCCTCGCTTATCTGGAATAGAGGGACGAGCGGCTGGTCGCCGGAACCGCAAAGAGCTAGAACGCCAAGGGGCAGACGGCACCCTCTCCGCCACTGGGGGTGGGGTGGGGGGAGGGGCTTCCCAAGGGCGCTGTACAGCCCCCAGGAGGATGCTAAATTTCTGTCTCCCCACAGCCATCCGTCTGGAAATGGTCCTGGCCCTGGAGCAGACAGGACCACAATTCACAAATGCTTGCGCAGTCTAGACAAAGATAGCGCCAGGAATCTCTGGAGAAATTTCCTCAGAAATCTGTCTTGGTCCCGCTAACCTTCCCCACCCCCATCTCCCTGGCTCAGTTGTGATGACCACACCGTGTGGCGGGGTGGACCTCCAGCGGGAGCTCTGGGAATTAAAACCCTGTCTCCCAGAGCACTTGTAGCCTGAAGGTCTTCCTGGATTAGCGGGTAGGTAGCCAGCCTGTGACTCCAAGTATTCACTAGTAAAGTGAAATTGAAGCTCTACATGTATATATAGGACTTACCACTATGTGCTTAATCTTAAAATGCTGCAACACCCCCAAGCTAATTGGAAGCATTGGGGCAGAACCCCCAAACCGAGTCAGCTGGCCCAATAGCTAGTCACTGACATGGGGTGGTGGAAAAAAATGGATGTTTCTTGCAAAGTCAGAGCATGGAGTTGGGTGGCTATTGCTTAAATTCCGGGCTCCTGCAGGAGTTACAGGTGAAGTTTATTGCGGATTTAAGTTAGGACTGAGAGGCATGTGATCAGCTTCTGTGCAAGTTGCTGGTTGATGGGTGGTGCTCAGGGCTTTTCTCTGTTCCGTGATGCTTTTTAGGGAATTTATGACAGCCAGGTGGGCCCCAGTTGGTATGGAGTTACATTAAGGTGGCAGTTAACATTCTGCCCAGACTTGGAATTCCCATACCTTATCACCCCAGGACAACACTGTTCTTACAGAGAAGCCAATGACTCCTGAAGTGGGGTGATTAGAACCTTGTAAATGAATCTGGATCACTCCCTTAAGTTAGTGAATTTGTTTTGATAGAGGACCCACAAGGACACCTTAAGCAAAGGGAGACAGGCAAGAGTGAGTCCTGTTTTGACTTTGTGGCTTCAGTTTCAGTGCTGTCTAGAGTCCTAAAACCTAGACATCTTTTTTGAAACAACCTATATATTTTTTAAATTATAAAGTTACATAGGTTCTGGGGTTGCCTGTGCCCTTCCCCAAGATCCCTTTCCCCTCCCCCACATTGATTTCCCCTCTAGCTTTTTTAAAATATGTTTTTTTATTTTGAATTTTGAATTATGTGGTAGAATTTCACATAGGCTGAGATTCCCCCGAAACTCCCACCCCCAACAGAATTTCCCCATTTTACACAATGGTGTAGTCCTTCTTAAGGAATCATAATTTTATCAGTCTGTTATTTAAGTGTATCCCGACATTGTTGGTACAGACAATGTCAGGCCGTCCAGCATGCCATTGTCTACACATTTCCAACAGTTTCACTGGGAATCCATCTTTCATCTGGAAGCAGGGATGCATGTTGCATTATACCCCCACATCTGGATATGGTAGACCCCAGTACTCCATCATTCCAAAATTGAGAAGCCATGAAACAAGGTCAACAAATGCTATGACTTAGAACAGCTACAACAACAACATCAACAACAAATTACAGCACCGTGAAAAAAACGTGCACTGAGTAACCAACACATGAGTGACAAAAAGGAAACACAAAAATCTCTTGGGAAAAATGATGCCACTGTCCCCTCTAGTTTTACAACGGATGTCTGGACACATTTTGATTGCCTCTAACATTATGGTATAAAAATGTGTCAGGACAGCTCAGGACAGCTGCAATGGTCCACAGCCCTAAACTCCAAGGAGTGTGTGCCATGACTTCCTGGGCTCCCCTAAGTAGATTGTTCCTGCAACCCACCCACCCAGGACAGGCACACTCCTCTCGGTCCCTTTTCCCTGCTTTATTTTTCTTGTGAATGTTTGCAATAACCCAAGTTACTGTATATACTTTACTCTTTTTTTCTGGTTATTTTCTCCCTCTTCACTAGACTGTACATTCCAATAAGGGAGGGCCAAAAGTTCTACTACTCTTTGCTATTTCCAAGACCCTGTGACACCACCCTGAACACTTGAGGTGTGAATAAATGTAGCTAGTGAATGTTGAACAACTATTCAGTATTTTAAATAATTACTTGCATTCTAACTGAATCTATTTCCTTTTTTTTTTCCTTCAATCATTTCTACACTACCAGGCAATGGGTCCATATGGTGGTTCACAGTGTAACTTAAAGGGAAGCCTTTGACGTCCTACAAAGGAAGGAGGAGCATGTCCTCAGAGTCCTTGCAGCAGGAACTCACCCAGGTGGCACCAACCTTGACTTACCAAAAGGAAAAGTGGGGACATCTACATCATTGGTCTGCAGAGGATCTGGGAGAAACTTCTGGTGTCAGTTCGTGCCATCATTGAAAGCCCTGCTGTTGTCAGTGTGCTGTCCTCCAGAAGGCTGGCCAGAGAGCTATGCTGAAGTTTGCTGCTGCCATTGGAGCTACTCCTATGGCTAGCCACTTCTCTCCTGGCGCCTTCACTAACCAAATCTGGCAGCTACACGCCTGGTGGTAACTGATCCCAGGCTAACTGCCAGTGGAGAGCTCCAGCTGCTAAGCTCACTGCTCCTCAGCCTGACGTTGCAGATTGTTCTGAGGGTGTGCAGGTACCCTCTGTGCCTATCCAGCAGTTCCCCACTGAAGATTGGAGCACCCACCCCACCACTCAAGACTGGTCTGCAACCCCCATGACTCAGGCCACTGAATGGGTAAGAATAACTACTGAGGGGTCTTAAGCTGATGCTCAGACTCTGAAGCAGAAACAGAAATGAAGTAGATGGAAAATTAATACTAGTTTCTAGAGTCCAGCATGACGGCCCAGTGGTTAAATTCTTGCCTTGCATCTGCCAGGATCAATGTGGGTGTTGATTCATGTTCCAGCTGTTCTAGATCCTATTCAGCTCCCTGCTTGTGACCTGGGAAAGCAGAAGATGATAACCCAAAACCTTGGGATGCGGCAACCGTGTGGGAGACCCTGAGCAGGCTCCTAGCTCCTTGCTTTGGATTGGCTCAGTTCTAACCATTGTGGCTATTTTGGGAGTAAACCATTGGACAGAAGATCTTTGTCTCTCCTCCCTGAAAATCTACCTTTCCAATAAAAATAAATAAATCTTGGGGTGGGAGGGAGACTAAGTAAGGCTTCTCCCTTAATATCCCCCTTTACCTCAGATACGTGGTAGAAACAATATGGAAATAATAGTTTTACCCACTTTTCTGTAGCTCTTGAACCTTTTTACCCTAATTAACTATGTAAAGATTGTCAAAAATATAATTTAAAAAATGGAAAAAGAAAAAAATGAATAAATCTTAAAAATGCTAGTTTTTAAAGAAAATAAAGAAGAAATCTTGTAAACATCCCTGCAGACATCCATTTATTTGAGAGACAGAAAGACACAGGTAGATAAAAGAGGTTTCCTATTTCCTCATTTACCTTCCAAATATTCAGAAAGGCCAGGAGCCTGAACCCAAGGCTGAAAACAGAGCACAGGTTTCCTGTGTTTGTGGCATGAGCCCAGTTACCGGAGCTCTCACTGCTGCCTCCATAGTCTGTTTTTGTAAGGAGCGGGAATCAGCGGTCAGAGCTGACAGTGGTACCCAGGCACTCTGATGTGGGAGGTAAGTATCTTTTTTTTAATTTATTTTTTAATATTTTGACATTCTTTACATAGTTAATTAGGGTAAAAAGGTTCAAGGGCTACAGGAAAGTGGGTAAGACGAGTATTTTTTCCATATTGTTTCCTTCATGTTTAAAGAGGGGTATTAAGGGAGAAGGCCCACCCAATTTCCCACCCTCCCTAGGTCCCGGATGTAGGGTATGTTCTGAGGTTCTTGCTCAAGTGGATTTGATATTTCAACAGTTATGAATCGCTGCCAGTCTTGCCACTCCAAGCACTATGAGGTCGTTGAAGAATCCACTGATTGACATAGTCCATCATAGAGTCTCTGTTTGCCCCGTATTTCGCTGCCAGGATATAGCTGAGATGGTTGGTTGACCTGTTCTGTCTTCTCTCTTTTCTTGGTTAGGGTTCTGAGTCCAGCATTTTGATTGGGGAGATCTCCGAAGAAACTTTGTCTGAGGTGTTCTCAAATCAGATTCTTGAGTATCTTTTTTTTTTTTTAATTTTTTAAGATTTATTTATTTTTTTACTGATGGAATCATGACTCCTTATGAAGGACTATACTATTGTAATAACATGGAGAAAACTAGTCGGGGGTGGGATTTTTTTGAGGGGAGGGGAGCGAATCCCAGACTCTACAAAATTGTATCATAAAATTAAAAAATTAAGAACTAAAATTTTAAAAGTTCAGAATAAAAATTTTAAAAAAGACTTGTTTATTTTTTATTGAAAGACAAATATACAGAAAGAAGGATACAGAGAGAAAGATCTTACATCTACTGGTTTACTCCCCAAGTGGACCCAGTGGCTGGAGCTGACTGATCCAAAGCCAGGAACTTCTTCTGGGTCTCTCACATGGGTTCAGGGTTGATTTGGAGAGTACTGAGGATGACTTATGAATGAATCAAAAATAATAATACAGCTTCCTACTTGTGGCCTGGGAAAAGCAGTAGAGGATGGCCCAAGGCCTTGGAACGCTGCATCCATGTGGAAGAAGCTCCTGGCTTCCAATTGGTTCAACTCTGGCCATTATGGCTACTTTGGGAGTGAAGAAGTGAATGAATG